ATTTAAAAGGTTATACCATTCAGTTGTTGCAAAGCAGTATTATTATTATGTGCGCATAGGCTTATGCTTGTACCATCACCAAGTGCTTTTAGTGATAAGCACTCACTTGTAGGAATTGGTATGTATCTTGGATTTTGCTGTAAATAAAGATATTTCCAAGGCAAAAGCTTACACTTACACAATTTGTGGTAACTGTCTTATTGTTTCATTTTGGGTAAGATATTATAGTGGCCCTGATAAGACCGCCGGAATGAATCTGAATTTTGGTTTAATGAGGGTTGGTTAATGATACAAAAAGAAATAGTGATAAAGATTGTTGAAAATTGAGTCCCGACCAGAACAAATTGATTGATATACTGAAAAAATATAGTATTTTTCTTGTGTGGACCAATTTTTTAATAGGTTGAAGCAACCAAGAAGAAACAACCTGGCAAATCTTTATACGCAAAAGTGACGGACACAGGTGTTGATCCACAAGAGGCTGCCAAGAGGCTGAATATTGATTGGGATTCAGCTGCTGAGATTGGCGAGGCCGAGACTGTTGATGATGTGGAGGTTCCCTCGGCTGTGGTTCGTTTTCCTTGGTCTTCACATTATAATCTAATCTTTTTGGAAGGCTAGCTTGATTTTGGTTGCAACTTTCAAACTTTTTTCTTTTGTTTTGCATTTAGGCAGTACATCAAGCTAGGTTAATCCTTATTCTGGATATAAACTGATTATAACCTTGCAACTGCAGGGATATGGAGCTCTTTACTTGGTTACAGCGTTTCCAGTAATTATTGGTATCTCTGTTGTACTCATTTTATTTTATAACTCTCTCCAATGAGGCGTTGACGGAGATGCATTGCGGGATGGTTAGTCGTCAATCGAGATTGTAAAGCAGTTGTCTGTATTTAGTGGCGGAATCTTGAAACTACAAATATTTTATCAGTTTCAGTTTTTTTGTTTTTTGTTTTTCCCTGCCTTATGATGTGTGTTTGTTGATTACTCATTGCGAGCGGTGAATAATTAATTAATTGAATGGTTTTTGGTGAATTATATGTGTAAACTAATAACAACGGTTCTATGACTTGCACGCACGCAAAAATAGACAGAATAAGATAAGAAAAATACTACAAGAGGACGTGGCAATCACAACTAGTGCTAATACTTGGTCCTCATGAACATGGATTCCACCTTCTCCCACACATAATATATACTGTGTGTATATTCTAAGCTCTGGGTGTTATCTCCACACTCAATTGTAAAAGAAAGCCTTTCAAAGCCACCTACATTTTCATCTCCACACCAAATTAAGTTGAAAGAGTTACCCCCAAATGTGTTAAGACTATGCCGGGTGAAAGTCATGCAAATAATAGGCCTCGCACGAGCTCATTTATGGAGAAGAAAGACAGCGAGAAGCAGATCTCAGTGGACCCAATTTCTCTAGAAATAGAACCATCACTAAGTAGGCAGATAACAAGCACGAAAGCTCATGCGATTAGCTACAGCCTCACCAACTCACCTCGAATTGGCTCGATTTTCATCACAAAGCACATGTCGAGAAGTAAAACTACTCAAAACCCTCAATATTTGGGTCGGCAACACTCGGTGGCTTTAACCAATTTGGAGAGGCTACGAGAAACCCACATGCGGAGGAGCAAGTCGTGCGGGGAAGGAAGGTCGTGCAGACCATCTATCGACCTTGATCTCTGGTCCACCAACAATCAACACCTGATAACGGTCCACCATCAAACTCGTGAGAAAGAAGAAAGTGACGAGGAAGAAGAAGAAGAAGAAACAGAGAAAGGTGGGGGATCTGACAAGTTCGTTTGTGGGGCGTGCCTCCTCATTCCAGGCTTCGGCAAGGGAAAGGCAGTTAGAGCAAAAAAGGAGGATGTTACTGAGAGTGACATTGTTTCCCAAAGAATGTCCCTCGAGAAATTTGAATGCGGCTCTTGGAGATCGTCGGCACTCATAAACTATGTAGAGGGCCATGGAGATGATGAGCCCGCGTCAAATCTCTTTTTCGACCTTCCCATTGAGTTGATACGATGCAGCAATGTCAATGACACAGAGTCCCCAGTCACCACCGGCTTTGTGTTTGATGATAAGGATCATCATCATCATCATCATCGTAATCATAAAGGGGTTCTCAAAATTGGTAGAAAAATCGACGAATCACGTAATTCCTCTCGTCGTCATGTTCGTTTTTCTACCTCATCTCCTACACCGTGTCCCGTTTCACCAACTTCTCCTAACCTCCGCAAAGCCAGAGATGAGTTAAGTGCTTTCTTAGAAGCACAGAGCACATGACATTTTGTTTTGTGTTTGTGTACACATACCATCACAGAGGAAAACAATGCACCATCCCATTCCTAGTTTTGTTTTCCTTATTTTATCTTTCACAAGTGAACAAATAAACTGTGTTTATTTATGTATTCCATCCCAAAGCACTTGAAATAAATTGTGAACAAAGTGAGTGTGTCAAAAAAACTCGAATGTTATTACTAGATAAACAAAATTGCCAAATATATGTTATTACCGTAGCAAAGACAAGATGCACTTGAAATAAGCCGGCAAAAGTCAGTAACTTCCATCAACCTTTCTTTCTCTCATTTGTGGAATCTGGAAATTGGATTAGCCCAAAACAGCCAAGTTCATATATGGATGTACACAGGAATACATATTTTTTTCTCTACTTGAAACAAAATATAGCATATCTTCTAAAGCTAACCTTTGTATACTGTGTACTGGAAAAAAACAACTATCATACAGAAAATAAATTCAATATTGTCTTCCTACAAGGAGAAATAGAACCAAGAAATGTCATTCATTGCTGAGTTCTCTGCAATGTGGAGCCAATCATCTTGAGCTCGTATCTCTTTACAGAAGCTGCAAAATCTCTCATTGTGGTATCCACAACGTAAGGAATCCCATCAACCGTGACTGCTGTGGAATTGAGAAAGTGGCGGCACGGTTCACGCCGCTCGGCCACTGTCCCATGATAATGGAAGTACTTTATGCGCCCATCAGTCTTGTGCGTTGACTTTCCCGCTATGTTCTGCGACATGTGAACTCCAGTTGCAAACACACTTCGTGGCTGCACAGCGTATTTTCGGTCCCTACGAATGCCTCTCCTCACATTTCTGTACACTAGCTTCTCGAATCCCCACTTCCTACAATAGATTGTCATTGGTATGCATTTAGTTAGATAGCATTTTGATCTTCAATAGCTATACAGGATAGAAATGTTCCGCACAAAATTAATGAGTACGTGGCACTTTGCACTGTATCCAAATGGAAGCCGTGAATGAAATGTAGCAAGCTTGATCTCCATGTCATTTTATCACGATGCACAATCAAGTAAACTGAAAGATGCCATTGTACTAAAAGGTTTAAACCTAAATTCGCTTGAATTGCCAATGTTCGATAATCCACTAAAACCAAATCTCAATGGATTACATTGTCAATTGACTCATATTGATAACTAGAGGATGAAATGTAGGAAAAATCGAACAAAATGAGCATGATTAGATGTGTTTTGCTTTGTCCTTTATACATATGAATGTCAAACAAACGCACAAAAACTAGTGCAAGTAGGAAACAAATACCAGTTTGGAATTGCACACCCTATCACACTAAAATTATTTCAATCATATAACTTGTAATAATAATCGACGATGTAAGGTGAACTGCGGAGGAGGGAGGCCTATGCCCCGGGATTGCGTAATTTGATGAGTGAAACTAACGGATACTTGAAGAATCCAAAATAGAAATTCAATTATCATGGTCAGAGTATGGCATGAAAACATGGTTATTCAAACAGCAATACAACATGAGTTCAAACATACAGAATGCAACTTCTAAAGCTAATTCCATAAAATTATTAATTGCACATTACTTGGCAAATAGCAAGCTTCTGGTTAGTAATGGATCAGATTGATTGAAAGGAAAGGCAAAAGAAGAAAGCAAAACAAAAACAAGGGAAATTTTCACCTGAAAGGCATGGGAGCATCCTGGGAAAGGCAGAGGTTGTTGGACATTGGCATCTGCTCAATGGTGAACTGAGTGAAATCAGAGAGGGAATCCAAGACGGACTTGATTGTGCTTTTAGGCGGAACGTATATGAATTCATCCACATCAAAGAAGAACATCCATTTGGCTGAAAACCTGTACCTGTGCAAACAGTCGTTCACTATGAGGAACTGGTTATGATAGTAACCATCAAACCTTTCCTGCTCCCTCACATCGTGTAGAGTGACGAAGCCTTTGTTCATCCACGGCCTCAAAACTTGCCTCAGCCCCTGGTGCACGCCGCCTGCATCGTGTATCACGAAATGGGATCTGGGGCCCAGCAGCCTCACGTGATAGGCAACCCATTCCCGCACCCTCTGAGGACTCAGGTTCCCGTACAGGGACGACCCACAATACAGATAATCGTAAGTGGGCTGGGGGGATGTGAATTGGGCCGTGAAGTTGGCGTAGTCTTGTGGGCTTTCGTCCAAGGCAGGAATGGTGTCGGTGATGTTGAGGAGGGTGCGGTCGCCTCCGCCATTGACGGCGGCCTCGAGAAGCAGCTGGCCACCTTGGCCGTCTGCGCCGACGCCGGTGGGGAAAGTGCAGTTGACGACGACGACCGTGTAGACGCGGCCGTAGCCCCAATCGGGAAGGATCTTGCGGCCGGGAGTGGAGATGGGGTTACTACGGGGGCCCAGCCAGAGGCATCGGTAGGTGGGGTTGCCGTAGAGGTGGAGAGGTTTGGAAGAGAGGCCGACGACGGCGAAGGTGTTGGGGCCGCCGCGGTACGCCGACATCAGTATGAAGTTGTAAGCGGCGGAGCCGTAGGGGTTGAACGCCCGCTTCAGCACCCGGCCATCCTCTGACACCTCATCTCTGCTTTGCCGGAAGAAATGGCGGTGGTGCGCATCGTTAGACGAAGTATCGTTATCATTATTATTGTTATTGTTAGGGTGAGAGGGGGTGGCGGTGAGGCAGTGGCGGATGTCGGCGGGGGAGAGAGAGAAGCGGGGAGGGAGAAACTGGAGGATGACGGCGACGGAGCAAAGGAAGAGGAGCACCGTGAGAAGGAGTTTGAGCTCAGCTGCGCAATTCCACACAATTCCGACGGACATTCTCTTGTGCTTGCGCTTCTCTTGTTCATCATCTTTTAGCATTGGCATAGCCGCTGAAGGTACGAGGTGCCGACACACAAACGAGGTATAGAATTGTTATTAAGTAATCTATATATCTAAAAACGTAAACGTCAGCGAGGCAACGCCGACTGCGGTTGAAATGTTGAATAATGGCCGTCAAAGAACTTTCAACACAGCTTATTTACTTTTCTCTCTGCGTGTGCTTGTATGTATTTTGTGTGTGTGGAGAGAGGGCGAGAAAGCAATCAATGAAGGCAGGCTCTGTCGGATTATTTTATTTTGCTTTACGATTATTCCCTTAGATGAACCTAATTAAACACAAATTATTTACTTAAAGCCTTAATAAAACCTTTCGTCTTATCTTAGCACACTCAATAAACAAATGAGATAAATTATTATTTGATGTTATTTTTTATTTTCATCAATTTCATTTTTAAGTATTTATTAGAAATATATTATTATTATTAATATATATCTATACCAAATTTTACGGACCACATAACACTAAGATTGACACCGGAGCACGAGAAACAAGAGTCAAAGTTGATTATTGTCGTCTGTGCTAGACTCTTAAATTAATTAACCGATGTGGTCGCATTATCTTAATATATAATTTTCTTTCTCCAAAAGCTGATCAGTGTCACCTTAAGAAATGGGAAAAGGCTAGATTGAACCTTGGGAATTGAGGTGTTTGGTCTATATCCAATATTTCTTTTATTTTCTTCTCTTATGGGTTTTGCATAATTAATTCATAATCCTTAGTCCTTACTCCATAGTCTACACATCCCATCTTATAGTTTTGTTGTGGTTTTGAACATATCACAAATAATATTATATTTCGTGTTTTTCTTCTCATTCTTGCTTTGCCTTGACACTACTGCAGGGCGCCAAACCACATGATATTCTATTACAAAAAAAAAATAAAAAAAAATCAGCAATCCCAGGTAGGAAAAGAACACACTGTACACAACAAAAACCAGCAATTCTATTACAAAAAATAAGGAAACCAAACCTTGACACAACACACAGAATTAGAATATGATGATACAATTTAGCACAACACCTTTTCGCGTTTTGCTCTCACACCTATATATAAAGAAACCTATAAATACATTATAATCAGGAAGCACCACCTTGTATTGTAGAGAGGTCCCAGACAGGGAATACAAACACAAAAGAAAGGATAATAATATGTAGATGGGTTGGGTGTATGATTAGCTCTGCCATGTGCATTAATGCCCTTTCCCCATATGATTGTATGATATATATATTCTCCTTTTCCAGCGCGCCCACAAGTCGCAATAAAAAAAGTTGATTCCTTTTCCCCACAAACACACTTGGGATAGGATTAATTCTGAAGACTATAATATCAATAATTAATTAGCCAATAACAACACTGCGTGACCTTATATATAATTAATCACGGAGCTGGAGGGGTTAATTAGATAACGATGATGAGGATGAGGATGATGATGGTGGTGATGAAGGGGTGATGCACGTATACAGAGTGTTGGAGGAGTGGCGGCTGGGGCAGGTAATCAAGTGGTCATTGGTGAGGCCAGCGGCCTGCATGAAGGAGTGTATGACGGTGGGGCCCACCACCCGAAACCCCCTCCTAACCATGTCCTTGCTTATCGTCTCCGATTTGGATGTCTTTGCCGGGATCTTGTGGCACCACTTGTATTGGGTTGTGATGGGCTTGTGATTCACAAATCCCCACACATACTTGTCCAACGATCCAAATTCCTTCTTTACCTGCACCCCACCCCAGTTAAGTACATACTCCTAGCTAATTACAAAGCCAGTATATTACATTCCAATATATACTAATGAAAAATAAATAACTAGATTAATATAACCAATTAATTGGGATTTGGGCTACCTCAAGAATCATTTTAGCATTGTCGACTACTCCCCTGAGGAAGCCCAAGTCCATACAATACTCTGCTGCAATGCAACTCATCTTCTTCTCAGAGAATTTCGAAACGATGTCAACATCAAAACCCGACAAGGCGTCCCTAAAATCTTGCCTTCTCTTCAAAACCGAAGTCCAGTCCGATCCTACTTGCGCACCAGTCAAAACCAGCAATTCAAACAGCAACCTGCACATACATATTAATTACATGTATATATACATTGACTTGAAGAGAAAAAAAAAAAAGAAGAGATTGATTGTTGTAACATACTTATCATCATGAACAGGCACCCCCCATTCTTGATCGTGATAAGCCACGTATAAAGGGTCTGCAAAACAAGAAGATATTAGAAAACGAATATTGATCATCCAGTTTTATTGATTAAAGTGATTGCAAAACAAGAAGATATTAGAAAACGAATATTGATCATCCAGTTTTATATAATATTGATAGGATAATAAAAGATGAGAACAACCTGAATTAGGGGTGATGAAAGTGCATCTCTTATCTTGTTGTTGTTGGGTACAAGGAACAGCAAGAGGAGGGAAAGAGTAATGTTGATGATGAATATTATTATTATTGTCGTCGTTTTTGTTGTTGGAAAGAGCAGCCTTATTAGTTGCGACCGTTCTTCCATAGTGAGCGATGCGCATTTTCCTTTGCTCCTGAAGAATGGCCACTTGCTCTCTTCTAGCCGCTGCTATGCTTCCTGCAGCCGCCTCCCGACCGTTAATACTATTATTGAACGAATTGCGCCTCTCGAGCAGAGGGCCGCGATTAGGTGGCGGCTGACCGTTGAAGCTGCTGCTCCTCTGTAATCCTCTCGACTTTGAAGAACACATCTTTACAAACAAACACCAATCCTTGAAATGATCAAAAGCTATGTAGGTAGAATTAGATAGAGATAATAATGTCGTCTAAGGACAAACAAGGCAGGGCTAAGTAATGATGAACAAGTAGTAGTAATTAGCCTTATGGATACAATGGGGAATTGTGTTATGTGTAGATATTAGTGAATGAATGGATATATGTGTGTTCTAGTTAGTTATACTAGGAAAATAAAATAAGCATAAGAAATAAGCAAGAAAGAAAGAAAAAAGGAAGGTGGGGTTGATGTGGGAGCAGTTGGAACATGGGGAGGTTGGCCTTGGCCATGTGCAAGTGCAACGCACACATTTGTACCCAGCTTGTGACTTAACCTTTTGTTTCAAGGTGGTCACAATTATTGGATTTACATAACAAACAATGTGTTCATGTCATTGTATATATAGTTCATACACAGATATAATTACTTCATATATACACCAACCTTTTTAACATAATAAGGTTGACATAATTTCATGATTCTATTGCTGCAAAGGTGCCTTACTTCACAGATTCACATGCAAATATAAATCAAGGTTCTAAAAAGGCGCCATGGGCTCGTTAGGCGGACTGATTAGATTGGGCGTAGTTGTAAAAATAATAATAAATTTAGTTATATTTATGATCATGTGTACAACTAGTAAAATAAATTTTATTAAATAGACCAATTAATATAGTTATATATGAAGATTTTTAAAATTAATAACTTATAATTACACATCAGTTTTGTCAACCTTTATATTAAAATATTGTAAATACATATATAAACAACTACTTATCGAAATTAATGATGCGTTACACAACAACTAATTGTCATGTTGAGTTGGTAATAACTAAAATGTGAATTATTTAGATGTTGTAGTAGAAGGGGGATAGTTTTGGATAGACGGAGACATAGCATGTGCCCTATACGGGATAAAGTGATCAATCATAATAACAATAATAATAATAATGCTATTATAATCCCACATGATTGATGATGTGTTGGGTCACCACATGCATTAATATATTTTTTTATTTTTTTATTTTATTTTTTTTTTTGTTGTTTTTTCCTTCCTACCTTATTCCTAAGCTCAATCAATCTCTATGAACGACTTCTAATTACATTTATTAACCAAAAAAAAATCCATTACACAAAGTTGCCATAATAAATGGGGGTTAGAATCCGAGGAGATAAATACCTTTTTGTTCTTACTAGGAAAAATTGGACTAGCAATATTTAGAGAAGGGTTATAGTTAGAGCTATCAAAACAGACCTTGATCTATTTGCCTTGCTAAATAGACGGTTTGGATTGTGATGTTTGAGGAATAAAGTACATACATGCAACTTATTTCCATTTACTTTCACTTTAATTAGCTTTCAAACTTATTTGTAGTTATCGATTTTGCTATGAAGCCAAAAGTTGACTCTATAGTGGATCCAACCTTCTATATACAACAAATAAATTTACCATATTAATAAAATTATATTAGTGTTATTTAAGTAATCAGAGAATATGGTAGATTTATTTGTTGTATATAGAAAGTTGGCTCCACTCTGAAGCCAACTGTTGGCTTCATAGCAAAACCGCATCCCTTTAAGCTCCTACAACTTTGTTTTATATTATTAAAAAATCAATTTCAACTTCAAAGTAATTAAAATTTTTAATTTTCAAGCACAAAAAACTGACATTTTCTAAAGCTTCCAATTTGTTTGACCACAAAACACTCATTTTCTACAGACTACAATAGGTAGTGCACATAACCATTTTTTAGGTAATTTTCATTCAACTTTTCGTGAGATACAATTGCCTTGATGAGACCATGTCCCTACACACATTCTAATTTTCTTTCACTAACTTAAATAAAACAAAAAAAATATGCAAAAAAAAAAAGTCAAAACTTCGATTCTATGCATTTAACCATCATATAGATATAGATACGAATAATTTATAACGGTTATCCAAAGCAAGAACTCATTTGTTCAGTAACTTAAGAATGATTGGAGTAAGTTTGAACGACATCCAAAATTGGAGATCTACATATTGGACATTTCCCACTGTTCCATTGCAACTTATGAGCACATTTGAAGCAGGTGCACATGTGGCCACACCTGAAAACCAACATCATGGTTTAATACAAGCAATTACATATAATATATAACTATAATTAAAACATTCATGTACCTATAAAGAAGAGAATCAATTTGCATTTTGCAGCAGACACAACACTTTCCTCCACTTGCTACCTTTTTCGCTACACAGTGTCTCCCATTCTTTGTTTCTGCTGGCAAAAGATCAACAATTTTTAGATATTAGAAACTTGTATTTAAATAAAATCCAAAGATGATTGTACATGTGTATGTGTTTTCAATTTCTTTAAAGTGAAAATAATTTAAGTTATGAAGGATGGTTTAGTGAAAATACATCTTATTATTTGCATGCAATGGATTAATGGGACAAACTCTTAAGAAATGAAAAAATACCTGAATTATGGAAAGTTGTTGTATCTTCGTTCTTTATGGAACATTGTAATTTGATTTGCATGTCCATGCAACATTTAATCGAGTTTTTCAGTTCAGACATCTCTCTGTGCAGTTGCTCCATATGCCTTCTCAAGTCATATATAAGCTCCAAGTCCTGTTATTCATTCAAAAGTGAAAAATTAGTTTCAAGTAGCATATATATTTTGAAATGTGATAACTACAAACAAAAAACTTACAAGTAACGGATGGGCGCTATCTGAGGAGTTAGGTTGAGCATTCTCCGAGTAATAATGTGATGAAGATTCTTGTGTAGAAAGAGAAGCCACCCGAATGGAATAATCACTCAATTCACGACTTTGATTCAATTGAGACCATGATTCTAGTGGAGACTCTGTGATAACATCCGTGTAGTAATCCGAATCGTTGTTTTGTTGACCCCCTGAGCTGTCAACAACTTCTTCGTACTCGCTAAAATTATCAATATTGTAGTTTTCTTTAACACTTTGCTCTTCTTCTTCTTCTTCTTCTTCTTCTTCTTCTTCTTCTTCTTCTTCTTCTTCCCATTTCTCGCGTTTGGGTGGTACTGACACTTTTGGTACTTGAAAACTCTCATTTTGTTCTTTTTGCCTCTGATCATCATTTAGAAATTGTGGTGCTTGAGCACGAGCTATCATAACCTGATCTATCTTTTTTCTTAGGGCACTGGATAGAAAAGTAGAGACAGTTTTCCTGAGAAAAAAAAAAGGACAACACAATGGATTTAACTTTGTTTTATAATGAAAAGTATAACGTTCTATAGCACAAATAACACATTTAAATAATTAAATGAAATCTACACATGCACACACCTTCCGAGTAGAGCTCGAATGTCTTCATTGTTGTCTTGGAAAGGATCAAGCATCTCCTGATATCTTGCTTGCCTTAGACCTTCCCAATCACTCCGAGGGCGAGACACTTCATCTATCCAATCTTTGTTTTCTTCTTTTTGTTGGTTATCATCATCATCTCCATTGTTGTCCTTATCATCACACTGCAAATCTTCCCATCCAATTTCTTGATTGAGAACATCATCACTTTCCCAATACATGCAATTGTTACTCGATGAAAATTCCTGACAATCACCTCTTGTAGTTTGGTTGTGATTGTTTTCTATTATGTCATGAACTACATTAGCCTCCTTCTTTTTGTTTTGTATGCTGCACATTTTGATATTGTATTCAAAATTTTCCCTGTCATTGATTTCATTCAATTTAACCTCCTCTAAGGTGGTTTCTTGCTTCAAAAAGATTGAAAATGGACTCATTTCACGATCAAGCTTTTCACAACTATGTAGCAGCAGTCCAACATTTTCTTGTGCATCAAATATTGTTTGATGAGAACTTTCTGAACATGTTACAGAGCCTTCGAGGTCTTGGATGTGATTTGTCATCCTTTTTTCGGGTAACCTCTTTATACACGTGACTTCATTGGATTCGTTTTTATATTTTTGTTGATTGGTTGCCCGCGAAATTGATGACGTATCATTATTTGTGATCACTTCTTTTTTGCAGCATCCTGAGTCGTTTTGGTTACTGGAATTAGGTATTTCCCTGAAATAATTGAACACATTCAATAAAATCAAAAATTAAATTGTTAAAACCTTTAAAATAGAAGGATACCCAGATATTTGGGTTCCATTATAGAATAAATAGTGAAGACAAAACCTGGCATTTAAAGTAGAAGGATGCACAGATTTTTGTGTTTGAGATGATTTGTCATTTGGATAGCAATATTCTTTAGCTTCCATGCCACGATGTAGGAATCGAAACCGAAGCAGAGCCTATTCATTCATGTAGAAGGAGAGAGAAATAAATCATGAATTACAAATGTAAGAATGGGTACATGGAAAAATTAGAGAAGATGCAAAAAGTACCTGAATGCGACCTCGATGAGAGAATTTGGAAACAGGTCTACGGGCAACAATCCCCTGGAGTTCTATGTGTCTATCTCGTTCCAACCTCATGAGCAGATCATTAAATGCATGCCGACCCCTAATTCGCGGTGAATTCACGATTGGGGAACCCTCCGATTGATTTGGTAGAGAGGTTCTAATAACACGAGTAGCCGCCGGTGGGGGAGATTCACACCCAGTCTCGTTGTCCGACAACTTCTTGATGATGTCAGCAACCCTCAGCCTATCCGTCTCAGAATCCGAAGGTGAGCCGCAGGTTCGATTGGAATCCCAATCGCCATACCTATCTTCATTCAGAGAAGGGGCAGGCGTGGGTGGATCTGCATATTTTTCTACATTTGTCTTGCTAACTATGTTATTATTATTGCTGGTTGTGCTGCGTTTGGCCTCAAACCCTCTCCATTTTTGAACTAGAGAGGAGACGCCACGTAAATTGGAACCCTCGTCGTTTGATGAGAGCTTGTCATGATCAATGGGGAAAATAATTTGGCGAGCTCTTGACCATTTATCTTTATTATTGTCCTTTTTGGTGGTGCAGGTGCTGGTGCTGGTGTTAGTAGGACCGGATTGATTATTGTTTGTTTGCCATTGAGGATGGTGAACCCATAAGTCGTCAAAATCAATGTGGTGGGAATGGGAATGGGATTTGTTGTCATTGGGCATGCACGACTTCACCAGCTTATTTAGATTGCTCTGTCTAAAACCAAAGGGAGACGAAGTCGCAATTTCCACTTGGGATGAGGCCATTGATAATAATAATAATGCTACTACTATTATTATTATTATTATGAAATGAGAATACTCCAGATTGTAGATATGGGGAAATCCAATTGATCACCAAAGAATCTAGAATAGAAATGACAATAACTTCATAATGAACAATAATTTGGGGAGAATAAGAATTTTAGTGGGAGAGCATAAGAGGGAGAGAGGTTGTGCTCAAAAGAAAAAAAGGTTGAAAGATATCAACAATGAAAATGAAAAAATGGTCAAGGAGAAGATGTAAGTAAATAAATTGTGTGGCCAACCATAAAATTAGTTCCAACAAAAATGCCATTCCTTCCTTTTTTTCATTTACTTTATACTCTATATATAGGCATACATGTGTATTCATATAGATATATGCTTGTTTTGATAAAAGTTTATCCCAAAAAATAAAAAATAAAAAAAATGACACAACGTATTTATGCATCAAAATAAAATTAACTAACTTAAATAACAAATGATCACTTACCAAAAAGAAGCATTATAAACAAGCGCATTCATTCACTTTTCTTGCTCAATAAATTGTTACCAATAGATGAGTGGTTTATAATTTACTATTTGGACGTGGTGGTTTATAATGAATGATTTTTTTATTTTTTTTTTTTGTCTCAATCTTTTTTAATTATAAATATATTTTAAAAATTAACATTTATAGTTATTAACAATTTTTTATATCTAATATATCAAATTAATTATCTCTTTATTAGATTCAACTTGACATTTATATTGTATGATAAATTAAATAAATAATTACATCTATATTTACTTATAAAAATTGAATCATCTATTAATTTTAGTCGAAATAAATAAAGTCACTTATCAATTAAATAAATTTTACTAAAAGTAGTTATATAATATAAGTTAAAAATATTATAATATAAGATATTGTGTAGTAATGTGATAGTGACATTTTAAATATAACTAATAATAATATATTTTTTCAAAAAACATTTCAAATTACAACATACTTTTTAGATTTATGTAAACATATTTTAAGGAAATGCTACAATCCGGTTACAAAATCATTCCGTCGGGATTTGTAACCGTTAGATCATCATGTAACCATCGTGGATAATTGATCTAACAGTTATCAATCCCAACGGAATGGTTCCGTAACAGCACTGTAGAATCTCCCCATATTTTAACAAGCAATGTAACATACAGGTATTGAACTATTAATACTTAAATTTAAATTAAGAACTATTAATGCTTATTTAAAATTAAGTATAATTTTTTTAACAATCACCTTCACCTTAGTATCATACTAGTGTTGAGTATGTTCGTTTGCTGGGGAAGGGCTCTGTGTTTTTTAGTTTCTGTAGTTTATGTTTTGCGTCGTCTGTGTCTGTATGTGTCGTGTTCGTTATTGTGTTTTAGGTCTGGTTCGTTGGCCTCAGTTAGCCCGAGTGTGACTTTATTATTTTTTTGAGACCGTACACTCGAGCATTACTCTGTTGGGGCCGTTTTTAGTGTTCTTGTGTTTTTTGTGTGTGTTCCCGAGTATTACTTTGTTGAGGTCGGACTCTAGACGGTCTTTTGACCTGTCCTCCTATTTTTATGCAGCTGTTGGCCGGTTATATTCAGCTGGTGGATGTTCTTTTTTCATATTTGTGTGCTTTTATATAAAATCTCTATTGTTTCCNATAGTATCATACTAGTGTGTAATAAATTGCAATAGTGTTAATTTTAATAAATAAATAAAAAATAAGAGCACAGTGTGCAGACGGGGTAAACCGTAAGCGTGAGTGGGTGAGGTAAACAGGTGAAATCGAAATCGAGAGAGACGCAGGGATGCCGATAAGCGCAACGGCGGCGGGAGCCCTTTTCGGATTATGGACTCAGTTGTACTCTAACAGCCTTCGAAAGCTCCCCTACATGCGCCGTAACAATTCTCATTCTACTTCATCGCATTTTCTTCTTTATCATTTTGGAATTTTCATTTAAGTCTCTCAAAAATTGGTAGATCCATGGGAGCATCTCTTGGGAATGGGACTGGGAGCTGTGTTTGCGAACCAGCTTGTGAAGTGGGACGCGAAGGCTAAAGAGGACCTCGAAAAAATGCTCCTCAAGGCCAAGGAAGCCAATGAACGCCGCTACTTCGGTAAAATCCCCCTTTTCCCGAATCACCGTTTTTCAAAATTTATTGAGATAAAATAAAATGGTATGTTAGTTTGCTTTGATGCCTAATCTGATGACTGCTCCGTTTATGTCATGCTGGAGAGAAATATAGGTTATCTTGATTGGTCCTAGCTATTACAGCAATGGTTTGTTAGTGTGCAAGTAGATATGGATCTAAAACTTTATGGCACCAATGAAAGAATCCGTTAGATCCAGTGCCAACCGTTTTGTGGGTGTCCTTGATGAGACTGCTACTAGTTTTTAATCATTTGTGGTGGATGTAAATTTAATTTCTTAGTGTTATCTGTTGAAATCATTTAACATGGTCAGGAGTGTGGTATTGTTGATGAACATGCAAACCAGGGAAATGCTTACAATTAATCATGTGCAGAAGGATATACTGAGTGAATGATTTTTGTGTCAGTGATCATATGGGATGAACACGGAAGATATATATGTTTGATGTTATTCATTGGTAGAAATGTTGTTTCTGAAAGTTACATCCGCAGCCTTAATACAAACTGCTAACAGAGTGTTAAGTTATTTTTGTGAACTTTGTTCTTAGCTTTGTTTCATTTGTTTGGTTTGAGCACCATTTTTACTTTGTTAGTCATAACTTGTGTTTGCAAAAGATAGGATTCTATAAACTCCCTTAGTATTCCTTGGTTATGCATTTTTTGAGTGCGTATTTATACTAGGTGCTGTTTAACATTTTTACTTCCTGGGTCTTGTTGTTGCAGATGATGATGAAGATTAAAGTCACGTATGGTTGGAACACTTTTCTTGTCTGAGTATTTTGTATGAGATTTTGTGCCAGCTGATGCTTGGTTATAATTACATGTTTCCCTGATTTGTACTCGGGCTTTTGGCTCAAGATATCTCTACTTACTCCAGAGTATGTGTTTCTTGAGAATAAATTCTGATGCTGTGTGCTAAGTTATGTTCATCAGACTTGAGTGGTTGTTGGCACATTATTTTCCTTCTTTCTTCATAGATGAAAATAAAACAGTGGTACATTATAATGTTTTCCAGTAGTAATTGGCAAAGTACATTGAACTACGTGACAACTTTGGTTTGTGTTTTAGACTTTCTAGTACGAAAGATAATAGAATCAAGATTATCATGGTTAGGGATTGGATATGCCTTCATTTGAAAATTTTATCTCTACAGAGAAAAATTATGGAAGAATTGGATATGCCTTCATTTGAAATTTTTATCTCTACAGTAAAAAACTATGGAAGAGTTAATTATTTTTATCATTTCTTGTACACACATGGATTAGAAAAGAAAAGAAAATTGAAAGGATAGATCGCATTCTCTAGTGTTTTGTTTTTCCCAAACAAAGATAACTAAAGCAGTTAAACAGATAGGAATAACAGACTCAAAGTGAGTGCAAATCATCATTCAGTTACTATGTCAACCACTGTTTATTACAACAGTGAGTCTTGACGAAAAAAAATGTCAAAATACCGCACGCTTTGTTTTCAAGGAAACTAGTTACGGGAAATATGAAGTAACTAGTCAAGTGCATCTGGACTAGGTTTCTCATAGTGAAAGGTAGTTGTAGAATCCCTGAGTAGATGCACCAACAAATCGCATGCCTGCCGGGAGGTTGGCCTTTCGGCAGGCGCTGTTTTTGTGCAGCTCAATGCAATCTCGAGCAGTTGGTGCACGCCACTTTCTTCATTGGGCAACAACAAAGGCTTCAGCACTGGATCAATAATCTCTGACCCTTGTTGCGACTCCAAATGCGATTCTACCCATCTCACCATATCCATGTCCAGTCCGAATCTCCTATCTGTCGGCATTCTCCCAGTCACCAGCTCCATAAGCACAATTCCCATGCTGTACACATCGCTTTTCTCTGTTGCCTTCATAGAATACGCATACTCTACAAAACAAGCCAACAAAAAACAAAACAAAAGGAAAAAAGAGTGGTAAGAACTCTTTTCTTACGCAATGACACTGTTAAATTGGCATTTTTTACAGGCTATTATTACCTGGAGCAATATAGCCGTAGGAGCCTGCAAACCAAGAATTGGACTCCGTGTTTAGAGAATCATAGTTATTATCGTTGAGAGGTTTCGCCAGCCCAAAATCCCCCAGATGTGCCTCCATGTTTGCATCTAACAACACATTGCTCGACTTAATATCCCTGTGAAGTATCTTGGGCACACAATCATGATGGAGATACTCCAGCCCTTGCGCCAGCCCCACTGCTATCTTCAACCTCGCCTCCCACTCGAGAATCTTCTTCTTCCTCTCGTTCGCCGGCTGCTTATACAGCCAGTCCCACAAGCTCCCGTTCTCCATGTACTCGTAGATCAACAAGTTGGACCCGGCCCTTCTGTTGCTACAGTAGCCCAATAATCGGACGAGATGCCTGTGCCTTATTCTCCCAAGCGTCTTCACTTCTCTGGCAAAGCTCTTGCCCATCATAAGGTCATCCCTTCTTGCTATACTCTTGATTGCCACTGTCTCTCCACTGTATAGTTCGGCTCGGTAGATGGTACCCGACCCGCCCGACCCGATTACAAACTCATCACTTAGATTATGTGTGGCCACCATGATGTCTATCCACTTGTAGTCGTACTTACCAGCGGCATTATCAAACAGTGGCCGTTTTTGTGCTTGGGAAGAACTCGACGAATAAGCGGAATCCATTTCACGGGCTTCTCGCCTGTGTTTGAAGAAGAGTGCAGCTCCGAGGATCAATAGAATTATTGCCACAGTTGTTGATATTGCCGATACTATCACCACAGACGAGTCGCTGAGGCCAGATTTCCTCCTATTGTTCAGCGATTTTGCGTCTTTGCAATTTTGAAGAGGGCCTCCGCACAGATTCGAGTTCCCATCAAATGCAGTGGCAGGCCAGCGCGAGTATTGCTGGTCGAGTTTTCCATTGAAGAGATTGAAGGAGAGATTCAATCTTCCTAAGCTGCTCATTTCACCAACTTTAGGAGGGATTTCTCCGCTTAATCTGTTGTGGGATAGATCGAGGGCTTCGAGCTTCGAGAGTGTTGCTATGGAGCTCGGGATGGGACCCGTGAGGTTATTATGGCTGAAATCCAGAATGCTCTGCAAATTTTGGAGCTGAGCAATCTCAGGAGGAATCTCCCCAATGAGGCTGTTATTAGAGAGGCGAAGTTCGTACAGCTTGCTTAACCGACCAATGGCGGGAGGAATGGGGCCTGTGAGTTGATTGCCATCAAGATTGAGGACGTTGAGGGAGTTGAGATTACCAACTTCCGGAGGAAGGGTACCGTTAAGGGAGTTTCCATTGAGGGACAGAAGGAGCAGGTTCGAACAGTTGAATAGCTCTAGAGGGATTGAACCGGATAATTGATTGGCCGAGAGTTTGAGCTCGCCTAACAGAGGAAGACTCCCGACCCAAATCGGGACCTGTCCAGAGAGAAGGTTACGATCGAGATCAAGATGGGTCAATCTCTTGCAGAGGGAAAGTTGGATTGGTATCTCCTCCGTCAGTAAATTACCCGAGAGGTCCAACAGTGATAGCTGCTGGAGTAATCCTAGCGTGGAGGGGATCTTTCCAGTGAATTTGTTATCGCCCAGCCTCAACCTCTCGAGGCCAGGAGAATTCCCAATTTCACGAGGGATTTCACTATCAAACGCATTATTCGTGACGTCAAACGAGAGAAAAGAAGGCGATGCGCACAGGGGAGCAATGCTCCCATTGAATTTGTTATGCGAGAGATTGACTCTCGTCAGGTTGGCAAGACCGGAAAGCTGCTCGGGCAGATTCCCCTGGAGAGTATTGTTGTAGAGCATGAGCTGTTGCAGGGCGTGGAGACGGCCGAGGCTGGGAGGCACGGTGCCCGACAACTGATTGTCGGCCAGATCAAGAATGGTGAGCTGGCGACAGCTCCCCAAAGTGGCGGGAATCGTGCCGGTGAGACCATTCTGTCTGAGATGAAGGAAATTGAGCTGCTTTAGCCTCCCAAACGTGACGGGGATCGAACCGGTGAACAGATTTCCGTATAAATCGAGCATCTGCAAGCTGGTGCAGTTGCCAATCTCCACAGGAATCTCGCCGGATAGCTGATTGTCGTAGAGGTAGAGAATCTGGAGATTGGCGAGCATCCCAATCTCTTGAGGCAGATTCCCTTGTAAGTTGTTCTGGTACAGAGCTAGAGTCTGCAGATTGGTGAGGTTTGCTATGGCGGGTGGTATGGAGCCGGACAAAGTGTTGTTGTTGAGCATTAGGTCGGTCAGCCGTACCATGTCGTAGAGCTCCAACGGGATGAACCCGTCGAGTGTGTTGTTTGACAAATCAAGCTGCTTGAGGGACCCACATTCTCTTAACTCCACCGGAATTCCTCCGGTGAGCCGATTCTGAGCCAGCATCAAGTGCTCCAAACTGGTGGCATTGGAACATATGCTTTTGGGGATGGTCCCTGTGAGATTGTTGCCCGAGAGCACGAGGTAGACTAGGCTGCCCATGCTCCCAAACTCTCCCGGAATTTCGCCGGAGAGCATGTTGGCGGACAAGTCGAGACTCTGGAGATTACTCAAGTTGGCAATTGAGTTGGGGATGTCACCCTGAAGCTGGTTGCCCAGGAGATTCAAGTATTGAAGCTCACTCAGGTGAGCTAGCCGGGACGGAATCCTCCCGGAGAGTGTATTGTTAGCGAGATTGAGTATCTGGAGGCTGGATAGGTCACCCAACCCGTCCGGGATGGAGCCATTGAGACGGTTGAGGGCGGCCGTGAAGACAACGAGGCTGGAGCATCCGGCGAGCTCCCGGGGGATGGGGCCCACCAGCATGTTCTCCTGCAAGACCAAGCTCTGGAGTTTGGTGAGCTTCCCCAGCTCCGGGGGTATGGGTCCGGTGAGACTGCACGAGGCCAGGCCCAGAGTCTCCAGGTTGGGGAGACTGCCCAAAGAAGGGGGGATGGGCCCGGTGAGGTCGTTGTCGCCGATACGGAGGAGGCGGAGCTTTGGGCCGAGTTGGGCCGGGACTGGGCCCGTGAGGTGGTTGGAGAAAAGGAGCAGAGATTCCAAAGAGGAGAGGTTGGAGAAGAGAGAAGGTGGGATGGGGCCCGAGAGGCGGTTGGAAGACAAGTCCAGGCGGAGGAGGTCGGTCAGGCGGGCGATGGGCGGTGGTATGGGGCCGGAAAGCGAGCAGTTTGAGAGGTCGAGCCCCACCACCGCCGCCGGCCGCCGCCTGCTGCAGAAGACGCCCCTCCATCGGCAGAAGTTTGGTTGGGTGGTCGGGGACCAGCCTCGGAACACGTCCAGAGGGTCCTCCACAAAAGATTGTCTCACTTCCAGGAGGATTGAGGAGATGCTTTGCTGGCATGACGTCAATTGAGGAGACACTAGAATTATGGTAAGTGATAGTACAGCATAAGCGAGTTTTACTAGCTCTGAACCCACCATTGCTGCCTGTTGATGGTGTTGAAAGAAAGTTTTAGCTAGCTAGTTACTGCTGAGAGAAGGCATTAATATTATAGTTGATTATCATGGAGGAGAGTAATAATGAATACGAGTACATGTCTGTGAACCAAACCAACAAGAGTCTTTTATCTTTTTCTGCACACCGTTGACTATTATGGCAAATTAAATGAGCAGCAGCAGCAGCAACAGAACAAAAAGATACAAAAAAATATGATCCTTGGTAGCAGTGGAGTGCATGGAGGAGTATTGGGCATTAAATTTTCAATTTACTCTTGGATAAAAATGGTGACAATAAAAATAATGATAATAATATAGGAGATATGAGAAAAAGGGGAGCAAAAGTGTGTCAGAATTAGTAATTGCAGAGAGGCACCGGTATTCAAGACCAATTACAAACAGAGAGAAAATGGGGATTGGAACTTGGAAGGAGACAGTAAATGTATAGCATAAAGAAACAGAAAATAGATAAATAAATATTTGTATGATATCAAAATCTTCAGAGGAATTATTGAGGAGGGATGGCAGACAAGGACCAGGAGTACGTGTGTGTGTGTGAGAGAGAGAGAGAGAGAATAGTAGTATGGTATATATCAGCAAAACATTATCAGCGTATAAATGATACAAGTTGAAGGTGTGTGTGCGTGGAGTTGGTGAGCGGCTGAGGGACTCACACAGCATTCTAAAAACTGTTACAGAATTCTAAATTCGAAAGCGAGCAGTTGGGTTTCCATTTTTTTGGTATGAAATGAAATGGAGTTGGATACACTGTCAATGACATCTCCCTCTCTCTATATTTGACTCTCATTTGCTAACAAATCCATATAGGACTGATTTTCTATTTTGTCTTTTTCCTTATGTTTTCAATTATTTTTCATCATTAACAACTCTACATCAGCTACTATTTTGCAAATATTAAATTGAAACTATGACCCTTTTGCTATCCATTGAGTGTTTACTGCTGCATAAATTTAATCAACTGAGCTACCAAATTCCTCTGTCTGTTTCCTGCCTTGAATTTTTCTATTATTTCTTTCATCAAATAAATATATATAAACTATATGAAGCCTAATTGCTAATTAATTATAAAGGGAGGTGTAGATGGTTATAGTATTGAATTGATCAAACTACTTCATAATTATCATGAATTACTCCACTAGTTAATTGTGGTTCACTTCATCAACCACAGATGATAATTGATATATACTGTGTCCCGAAAGGCTTCAACTCGCCTTACCCTACAAGTCAAAAACAAAACACCCAATCGCTCTATTTGTTTAATCAAATTATTAAGACAAGTATTCTGGACAAAAGCAAGTATATATATAATATATCTTAACAATGCTCTTAATTTGTCTGTTTGTTCATGCTACACGTAGAACTTGTCAATAATTCTGGATAAAATATGTGCCGTCGCCCGTCAGTCTCTCTGTCTTTCTCAAAAGATAAAAACAAGTCCGACCTCAGGAAAAATATATTAACAGGGAAATATTGATTTACAAGTCAATATTCTTACAACTGAGCTTTTACATGTGGACAAGTTCTGTTTCTCTTTTTAGTTTTCTTCCAAGGGTCATTTAAAGTTTAAGTGTTTGTATTTTAAATTCTTAATTATAATCGTGTTTGGACGACAGCATGAAGCATCATAATAATAATGAATTACTCGATAAAAAATATTAGGTGGGGATTCGGTGGATACACAGACCGTTGAACTTGGGAAAATTTGAAGAAGAAAAACAAAACAATGCAGAAAATTAATAGCCACAAGTCAAGCAGTAGAAACATAAACAAAACAGCAGGTCATATGTATGTATGTTTAACTAGTACAAGTGGGAATTGACGGTGTTGCACTTGAGTCGAACCTCAGAATGTTGTTTGTCGGTAAGGTAATCCTGAATTTTGCCAAGTTTGAGCATTGATGCTGCAAACTGTTGGTGGAAATGCGCGGACTGAGAAGCAAAAGCAGAGACTAGCGGCTCGGTCCTAGAGTCAGAGTACAATAGTTGGTCAGTAGAGAGTAGGCCCATCTTCTTCTGCAGGTTCTTGTAGTACTGCACGTCGAACTTCATTGGGGTTACCCCATCCAGCTCCACTTGCTCCGAAGCCCACCTACATTTCCTTGTTAGGAAGTTAAGGTACTTGGGGTCGATTGGTGGGCCGGGCTTATGGGGCCCGAGTCCACCGCCAATTCCAAACACCCTGTGCTGCAGGGAACCACAGCTGGACTTGCCAATTGTGTGGGCCCCGGAGAGCACGACGAGATCGAGTATGTTGAGGCCCTTTGATTGGAAAAGCTCGATGAGGTCGGTGATTCTCTCGTGGCCAACCGGGACAGAGGTATCGGCCTCGTTGGCGACGGAGATTCTCCCGTCCCGGCGGCCGTAGGGGACCATCCAGAAGGGTCCCCCGGCAGCCACTGTGGCGTCCCGCGCGGAAGCAGTCAGGATGTCCGCGCAGGAGACTGTGCCCGGGCACACCCTCTCGACCTCGGTTTTGATGTCGTCGATCACTTGAAATCCTCTCAGGTGCTTGCTTGCCTTCGCGTATTTCTCAGCTTCTGAGTGGTCCAAAAGAATCGAAGCATCGCATCCCTAGATTTTATGTGTTTTTTGTTATCAAAGCTTCTTGAATTTTTAATCAAACATAAAGTGCGAAACAATTACGCGACATATGAATCGCATTAGCCATTATTCTATAAACATACCCTGACGATGCAATCGTGGAAATGGAGGTTGATGAGAGATGGAGCAAGCGAGGAATCGTTTTTGAGCCACTGGGCGAGCTTATTGTGGATGATGCTCTCGACCTGAGGGCAACTTTGGTGGTAATATGAGTAGCTCAGTGACTCGTCGTACTCATATTCACCGCCATGCACACCCACACTCAGAATCGCCATCATCACCAGCAATACGTAACTACCCATCATCTTCATATTTTTTGTCTGCTCCTCCAAATCAACAAGAAAAAGTACACTAGTGACTGACTGATTTGTTTCTTGTTTGGTTTCTCTCTTCAAGCAATAATGTGTTTGTGTGTATATATCTACAGAATTTGCAACGCAAAACGTGCAGTGCACTAATTGAATGAATGGATGTTTGCTGTGTCTTGTTATTTGGTGATGGACGTGCAGTCCACACCTTCCTTGAAAAATTGTACAGTCCCAGCATATAAAAAGATGGACGTGCAATTGTGTATGCTGCCAAGCCTAATAATTAATTATTTCTTCATTACTCGATCACAAAAGAATATTACCCATTTTTATATTATTTCCACCTACCACATCTCATTACTCATATATCCTGGATAAATAGTTTTGAATACTTCTCTATACATCATTTAGCTGAAACTCTGGCTGTTCAATCTCAGAAAACAAGCACTACAATCCCCAATTTATTTGTTATGGTATCTTCTTTGATCTGTGTAATTTCCTTGCAAAAACTATACACAATAGCTGTACTTTCAAACAACAGAAAATGAATTGTGAGTAGGGATTGGAAATCATAATATTTCAAGTGTGCATTCAGTAACATTATTCTCAATCATCTGCCATTACATTTCCACATTCCACCACAAAAGATGGAGTATACAAATATATATATCAGACGAGAGCGGAAGCAGACCACCACCTGTCACGCACTGGCAGCATTCGTTCGGAATTCAGAATAGTAAAATCAGAGCCAATCCATGTAAAAGACGCCTTCATATGATCCAACCCATGCACCCAAACTATGGTCTTTCCCTACAAAACAAATTAAAAAAATAAAACCACAATAACAGAGCCATAGAGAACTCCTGAGCTAAATAGATAAAATCCCATAATATAATACCTCCTCGACTTTTGGGCCAGCACACAGCTGAGGGAACAGAACCCATAAATTGCTCGTTGAAGAGCATCTCACCCGACTTTATATCCCACGCACGGAGGCTACAGTCCTCTCCACCTGATGATGACAAGAATACCATTCACACTCCCAATCATCTTTCAATCATCACATCAAAGAAAAACCATGCTTTTCTACCTGACATGACAACTTTCTCCGATGGGTCTACTCCAAGTCGTATGCGGGTATGAGAATTCACATTGCCTTCATAACTTTGCACTGCTCCTCTCTGCATCAGGCGATGATCATACAGCTTAATCTGTAGACACACATATAATTAGACCTTCATCAAATCATCAACATATATAATACAACACATTACACGTGAAAGAAAATTAACTACACAAGTTGAGAAAAAACTAACCGACCCATCCATGGAACTAGCCAAGAAGTACTGATCCCAAAGCTTTAGTGACGCCAAACTAACATCCAAAATAAAATGTGAGTACAATCTACAAGAGCTTTACGTAATATAATCAACTAATCCACTAGCGGGAGCAGAACTATCGACTAGAAAGCCTACAAACCAACAAACAGATGAAGGCATCGACACTTTCCGAGAGCTTCCTGCAATCCTTATCTGCATACATATGATAAATAGATAGCTTTTACTAGATTGATTACAATTTCTAGAAACTTTCTCTTAGTCAAAAGGTAATTATGTAAAGTGCAATTAGATTTTTATATTATTTGAGTAAAAGAATGATCTTAACATAGTAAAGCTACCCAGTTCCATAGCAAAGCAGACCCGTTAACAAGCCAGGATATGTAATAAAGTGCCAAACATCACTTATTTTCATTTATAACTGAGCCAACTGTTGATTGGATCATATTTCGTCTAGAAAGACTCAACTGAATAATGCAACATACAATCATCTTAGGAGACATCCCATGCATTTCCACTTCCCTATTTTTTTAAATAGACTTTTGAGTCTTAAGTACCAAATAGATGGACAGGGAAAGTCCAATCACAAAAACTAGAACATAACTTTCAAGAATACATTTTTGCTCTCTTAATTCTATTGTTATATTATGGATTCCATTAGTTGAGTTGGTAATGACTCTCAACATATGAACTGCAAGAAGGTAGCTGGCACCAGCCCAAGACTCTGACTGGTTTTCAGAAGGTATCAACAGTGGAAATTAAGTGCATTAAGGATGATATCTCACTGGTTTTTGCCGAGTATCAACTGTCAAAATATCTCCATTTCTCAGTCCACAAAGAATGGAATTCCCCTGAAACAAGCAATAATGTAGCTTCAATGGAAAGGATAGAATGACTACTATTCCACTTTTATTATCCAGTACCAGTGCATGCATTTTCATGGTACACCATGCCTAAGCAGCTCAGACTTTGAAACTTCAAAACAACCCAACTCAAAGAGACAGTTAAAGCACTACCCTCCTATCAGGGAGTTGCAACACGTTCCAGCTAAGATTTTTTTACACACAAGTATGTTATATTAACTACGGACTTCAGGCAAGACCAAGTGCAACAACTTACTCAAATGTAGCAGTTCATATAAACTTACAGACTGATCAAACTGCATAGACAATACATCACTTTTGTAGCGAAGCGACCATAATACTTTAGTCTCAATATTGAGCAATTCAACTCCCCTGCTGGTTCCTACAACAATATGATATTAGCTATAAAGACAATATACAGTAAAAATAATCACCAAAACACATATTCACACTCTCAAGATATCTATTAGTAGGATTTTGTGCAAGAAACAGTTAAGTTATTCAAATGCCTAGCAAAAAATAAATATATAAAAAATCTACATACAACCCAGATAAAGAAAACATAGAAAGATTGACCTTTGAAATTGCAGTGAATCCAGAATTATATAGAAAAAACAATGAAGAGAAAAAACTTGCCAATTGCAGCATGTGTTCCTTTAGGGTCACAGTCAGCTGTCCAAATTGTCTGGTTAAATTGACAAATCCCATTAAATCCACCATCTATGGGAGAAATGGTGGAAAAATCTAGTGGTTTACTTAAGTCTAGAACATAGACACATCCGGGAGTATCAGCGCTGCCCAGTGTTGTTATCCTGTTTCTTATGTTAAAGGTCACAACTTTAACATATAAAATTTGCAATAAAGAAGCACAAAATATCACGATCAATCTAACTCCAAAACATAGAAAGGACCATACAATAACCACCATGATGGAAATTGGAAAACCTAAGTAATAGTTTTTACTTATTAATAGGCTTTTTACACTGAACATCATACAAAATATTTTCTCCACTAACATTAGAAAAAATATTAGTTCTCAAAATGTGATATGCTTGCATAAGTAAACTGGCGCTTTCATTGAAGACAGTTTCACTATTACTCATTAAACATTAGATCTAAAAGGATACACAAAATGTTTCGACATTGTATCATCTGTCTGCTGAGAACTATTCCTTGACGCAACTACACAAGATACATCAGATGACATTGGTTGCCCTGCTCCACGATAACCCCCAAGATGTCTCAATAACTCTTTGTGCCTGGGCATCTGATCTGAATTGTGAGGCCATACAGAATCTACTTTGTAGATTCTGGTAGAACCGAATTCTTGTCGATTCTTCCCAACTTGGAAAACACTAAGATATACGAAGTTAAGGAATTAGATAGAAGCTGAAGAGAGGCAGAAAAATTGAAGGCCTAGAAGATATAATGATATGAGCCATCAGGAACCTAATAGTTCATAAAAGGAACAACTTTTTCCAGATAAAAATAAAATATATTAAAAAAAAAAGATAAACATAAACTCCCAATAACTGAGTAGGGGACAAAGAAAGTGGAATCATGATTTGATCGAATGGACCATTGACCAGAAAATTGCTAGTTCCTACTATGTGATGATCTCGCGAAAATGAGTCCCTAATAACCACTCCATGATCAAAATCCAACCTTGAGTTAAGATGGAACCTTACCACAGTAAGCCAATCATCCCACCACTCAACAATATATCACTTTCCACAACGCCATCTGGCAATATCACATCGGCGACACCATGTTCCAATGATATGTTTGCCATCCTTTTTGTCCCTCTATATTTCCATACCTGCATTTTTCTCTTTACATAGTAAGCACTAAAAGTGAAATCCTAAAATCAACTGCACTGGGTTAAAAAATATGTTCCAGTAAAGAAAGCACAAAAACTACCATTTAAATGAAACACTGAACAGAGTAAAGAATAACACATTATAAAGTAGTACACTAAATTGTTTGACTAAGTCAATAATGATCTAGCAAAATACTTCATTTACTTTGTATGGAGAACCTAAGTGAAAGAATGGAAGATAGAATAAACAACAAAAGACGTGAACAAGAAATGAATTGCAGCCTCACTTAGGAGAGTGGCTAAGGTAGTTAAAAAAAAAATCCCGAGAGAGGGAAAATAAGTCTACATTCTTAATTAGCAATTCATGATCAAAGCAAAACACTGCAGCAATAATTGGAAAGGTCTACAATTCCCATACCAGAAAGAAAAACAAACACTGTATGTGGGATGCAACAGAATGCTGCCTTAAGAAAAATCCTGAGCTCAAAGTTAGTTTTCCAGAAAGGAACAAAAAATGTAACAGCTTCAGTATTCAATATATTAAACAGGAATAAAAATTCTTACCACTGGCTGTGATACATGTCTCTTTCGATATTCAGCTTGAAAGTTTAATTTCCTTTTTCCAAAAGAAACTACGTCGCCACACAACTCTCGTGCTTTAAGCAGCTCCGGTCTTAATTTAAATCTTTTACATAAGCCATCATCAGCCTGAGATTTTGAAATCAAATACTAATTTTTAGTTTCCAAGGAAGTATGTAAAAGAAATCATCGAGTCCAGCAGTTCTTTGAAAAAAAACCGTGACTTAACTAGATACTTCAATCACTAAGAGCAAGTAAAACTCGTCTAGAGGTCTTAACATTCTAGGTCATGAAAAGAAAAAACGAAAAGACATAAACTTGGACCCAACTAACAAAATCGCAGCAGTAAAAACTTGAATGTTTACTGAATAACTAACTAAAAAGCAGAGCTATTTGTCATGAAAAGGACAATAAATCAACAAAGACAAGGTAACCTTTCTGTCGTCTGATGGAGGAGGTATCGGAGGTTTAGAAGAAGAACCTGGAATGGGCCCTTTGCAAGGAAAGTACCTATTCTTCTCTGGGTCATAATAAAACCCCGGAATCTCTGCCACAGAACAAAATTGCACGCGTCAGCTAATTATAAAATCGCACCATTGTCAACAGTAACTGTAATTATTGTGAGAGAGAGAGAGAGCCTTTGGGCATAATTGCAGATGAGTAGGAGAAGGTCGGCTGTTCGGTGGTGCAAACCGATATGTTCTTTTCGAAAAAATTGAAGTACCAAATTTCGTTACACAGCTTTATATGAGGTGCCGCAGCTCATCCCGTCATCTGTAGTGTACTGATGTGAACACAAAAGGCAAGGGTAAAGAAATGTTGACCGAGAGGAGCCCAATTTCTGCCCTCTTTAACTTAGGCCCATAAACAATTTTGGGCCGTAGAAACGATTTTAGCAACCAATTTCTTTAGTTATCCAGTAAGCAGGCCACATATGGTACGACTGAGACTAAGGCCCCAATACTAATCTGAACTGCCCTGAGAAAACAGAGCGAGTGTTGAGTGTTCACCACCATTTTCAATCTTGTGTTTCTTGATATGTGTTTTTCGAAGGTAACCATACTTGTGAGAATGTGGGAAAAATATATATTCTAATATTCACAAAGAGGGTACACATATATATAGATACACATATGAGCCTTAGCCTAAACCTAACTTATAGTACAATATCAATATTTACATATTTAACACCCCCCCTCAAACTCAAGGTGGTATCGTGGAGATCAACTTGAGTTTGCTAAGAAGTAAACAAAAGCGACCGGGAAGGAGAGACTTGGTGAAGACATCCGCTGGTTGATCTGTAGAGGAGACGGGAACAAGCTTCACAGTCCCACGTGCAACATGCTGTCGAATGAAGTGACAATCAATCTCAATATGCTTGGTGCGCTCATGAAAGGTATCATTATGAGACATCTTTATAGCACTCTGACTATCACAATGTAAAGTAGTAGACGACGACTGAGGAGCACCAAGATCAGTAAGTAGGCGACGTAACCATAATAGCTCGGAGGTGGAGTCAGCAAGAGCACGGTACTCAGACTCTGCACTCGATCTGGAGACTAAGGTTTGCTTCTTACTACGCCAAGAGACGAGTGAATCGCCCAGAAAGAAGCAGTACCCAGTAATGGAACGACGATCAGTAGGATCTCCAGCCCAATCTGCATCAGAATAGCCGCTAAGTGTCAAGGAAGAACGAGCAGAGAAGTGTAAACCATGCAATAGAGTGCCTTTCACATAGCGAAGAATGTGCAACACAGCTGAATGATGCGTGGTTCTCGGAGCAGCCATAAACTGACTCACAATATGAACAGCATGAGCTATATCAGGCCGAGTGACAGTCAAATATATCAAACTCCCAACAAGCTGGCGATATAATGTAGGATCCTCAAGAAGAGAGCCATCTAGTGGAGTAAGACGAACATCATAATCAAGAGGTGTGGAAGCTGTCTGACAATCTGTGAGACCGGCTCGAGCAAGAAGATCAGAGGCATACTTGGCTTGAGACAAATAGAAGCCATCAAAGGAATCAGAAATCTCAAGACCCAAAAAATAGCGAAGCTGGCCCAAACTCTTCATCTCAAAATGCTGACGAAGATAGTCCTGTAAATCGGAAATACCAGTAACATCATCTCCCGTGATGATCATATCGTCAACATAGAGCAGCAAAATAATAATCCCAGAAGAGGAGCGCCGAAGAAACAAAGCGGAATCATGATCACTCGTAGTGAAACCAAACTGAAACAATGCAGAACTGAACGTGGCATACCAGGCACGAGGAGCTTGTTTCAAACCATACAAAGCTCGACGTAGACGCCAAACCTTCCCAGAGGACAAGGACCCTGGAGGTGGAGTCATGTAAACCTCCTCAGATAAGGCACCATGCAAGAAGGCATTCTTGACATCTAACTGCAGAAGAGACCATCGACGAACAGCAGCAACAGAAAGTAAACACCGAACAGTAGTAAGACGAGCAACTGGTGCAAAGGTCTCTTCATAATCGATGCCGTACTCCTGTGAGTACCCCTTAGCAACTAGACGAGCTTTGTAGCGCTCAACAGAACCATCGGAATTTGTCTTGATCTTATAAACCCATTTGCATCCGATAGGTTTCTTCCCAGCAGGTAGATCCACCAAATCCCAAGTATGAGTCTTCTCTAACGCCTGCAACTCATCAGCCATAGCTTGTTGCCACAATGGATCAGCACTCGCCTCACGAAAAGAGCTAGGCTCATGATGAGATAATATGGCCGAATAACAATGATAGTCAAGTAAGTGAGAAGGGGGACGACTTACACGAGTTGATCGTCGGTGATCAATGGTAGGGGAAGGGACAGAATCAGAAGAGGACTCAACATGGAGCGGCAGTTCAGGATGCGCAGGTGGAGTCACTTCAGAAGACGGAGGCATGACAGGCGTGTCAATGAGCTGTGAGTCAGGACAAGTATCTGGAAAGAGATCCGAAGTAATGGACATGAAGAAAGGAGATGACGAATCAAACGGAATGTGAAATTTAGACAAAGAAGAAAAAGTAGTATGCTCCCAAAAGGTAACGTGACGCGAAATACGCAACCGATTAGCAATAGGATCCCAACACCTAAACCCTTTGTGTTCTACCCCATAACCCAAAAAACAACACAAACGAGCTCGAGGTTCTAACTTGGTCCGCTCATGGGAGGGGAGAAGAACAAAGCAAACACAACCAAAAGGACGCAACTGAGTATAATCAGGCGACTGACCGTGCAAACGTTCAAAAGGACTGATATCTCGAAGAACTGATGAGGGTAACCGATTGATAGTATAAATAGCAGTCAAGGCTGCCTCACCCCAGAAACGATCAGGACACTTAGCAGAAAGAAGAAGAGCACGAACAGTATCAAGAATGTGACGATGCTTACGTTCAGCTCGTCCATTTTGTTGAGAAGTATAAGGACAAGAACGCTGAACTACTGTGCCCTGATCAGAAAGAAAGTTTAAAAAGGTAGAATCCTTGTACTCAAGGGCATTGTCAGTACGCAAGACCTTTATAGGGCAAGAAAATTGTGTGTGAATCATTCTAGCAAATTGAATATATATGGTGGGCAACTCAGAACGATTTTTGAGAAAATAGATCCAGGTAAAACGAGAAAAATCATCAACAAAAATAACAAAGTACCGAAAACCATTCATAGAAGCAACTGGAGAAGGACCCCAAATATCAGAATGTACCAAACCAAAAGGTTTATCAGCAGTTGACAAATTCTCAGAAAAAGAAAGAGCCGAGTGTTTCCCAAGCTTACAATGAAGACAACTAAAAGACTCAAAATGACCTGGACCTAAAAGACCTTTATGATATAATGAACGAACTTTATTCGAAGACGCATGCCCAAGACGAAGATGCCACTGAAAACTGGACTGATTATCGGTGACAGGAGCAGAAAATGAGGAAGAACGAGGGATATGAAGAGACTCAAGCTCAAATAACCGGCCCATCTTGCGACCCGTCCCGAGAAGCCGACCCGTCTGTGTATCCTGAACCTGAACACCAGAAGATGAAAATAGAACATTAAGACCTTGTTCAACCAATTGACCAACAGAAATAAGATTCAAGGCCAAATCAGGAATGCAGTATGTGTCAGGAAGATGTAAAGAAGGGGAAGAAACCAGACCAGTGTGAGTAATATTCATACGGGTACCATTTGCAGTATGTATAGGGGGTAAAGAAGTGACGGAAGACGAGGAAGACAAAAATTGTGGACTAGAGGTCATGTGATTGCAACAGCCAGAATCAAAGTACCAATGAGGGTTACCTGCGGTAGCAGACATAGCAGAATTGGAATGGATAACCTGTTTGAGAATAGCTTCTATGTCTTGAAGAGAATAAGACGAGTGCTGAGGCTCATTAGTGACAGCTGCTGTAACCGAAGCAGAAGGGGTCGATGAAGAAGACCCACGAGACCCTCGAGATCGAGAAAATGAACCTCCCGAACGTTGTGACTTCGCTGGACAATTTGGAGCAATATGCCCCAGAGCATGACAGATATGGCACTCCACCTTAGAACAAGTGGAAAAATGGTGACTAGAACTCCTGCAAAGCCGACAATAAACACGGGCTGGAGACTGAGGCTGATGCGACGGAGCGGAAGCGGAAGTAGGCACAGCTAAGGCAGACTCAAGTTGTGGTGTCCTAGCCAACTGAAGACGAGTCTCCTCAAAGGTGATCTCTTGAATAGCAGCATCAAGAGTAGGCAGTGGATGACGGTGTAAGAGAGAAGCACGAACAGCCTCATACTCAGGACGTAGAGCCATCAAAATCTGGATAAGATCAAGGTGATCCGGACTAATCTCAGCCTGTCGGAGACGATACCGGATAGGCTGAACTTGTGCAAGAAACTCATTAACAGATTGACCCGGTTGCTGCTTGGTGGAATGCAAGGTGCTCCAAAGCTGATAATAGTGAGCCAAGCCTGTAGTCTGAAATCGAGCAGCCAAAAAATTCCAAGCCTCCTTTGCACTGTCAAACGGAGCAAGCTGCACCTGAATAGTAGGGACCGAAGTATTACGTAACCAAGTAAGAATCTGATGGTTCTTACTATCCCAATCCTCCAACTTATCGACGTAAGCTGTAAGAACCTGTGGTGTGGGGTTGGCATCCCCAGAAACAGACGGATGTACAGGTGGCAACACATCACCAGTCACAATCCGCCACAATTTTCTCCCAATTAAAAAACTCTTCATAGACTGTGCCCAAAGACTATAATTGTCTCCTGATAAGACAACACTAATAGGAGAATGCAAATCCATACGATCCATATCCAAAAGGCAGATCAACACAATAACACGAAACTGATGAAAATATAGGCAGAAATCGGATCACGAAACCGTCAAAATAGCACAAAAATAGAGGAAATAAAAAGTTCACGAAAACCAAAACCGACCACACCAGGACGTAGCCGACGACGAGACGAGTCAACGCCTGAAAAACGGGAGAAATCGGACGCCGGAGTGGACCTCACGCGCCGGCGAGAGCTGCCGGCGCCGTCGCAATGAATCGGCGCGTGTGGGGCCCACGCGCCGCCGATCGGCCTGAAATTTTCGGCGATTGGTCGCCGGTGGACGCCGGAGAGGATGGTCGGGGCGGTGAGAGTCAACGACGGCCGGAGATGAACGGAAAAACGAAAACCCACAAGTGAATAGATATAACCCTAGTCTGATACCATGTGAGAATGTGGGAAAAATATATATTCTAATATTCACAAAGAGGGTACACATATATATAGATACACATATGAGCCTTAGCCTAAACCTAACTTATAGTACAATATCAATATTTACATATTTAACAATACTCATTTGGGGTAGCGTGAAATTTACCCACATTTTGAATTTTTATCACGTCAAATCACTAATGCCAAATAAGAAAACATACGATTATAGAGAATTAGAGATCATAAGGAGAACGAGCTGCATGAGTAGTTTGAATAATTTCATCATATTTTCAAGTTCCATTACCTAGAATGTTGCTTTCATTTAACCATGCATGTTAACTAGTTGTAGCATGTTAAAATTTGATTGTTTGGCTTTGCAAGAATATATATTTTGCTCCACACCAAGAAATCAATATTAAGAAAGTAAATAAATCATCACATTACACAATGGCTTTGCTTTAAACACTAGACAAAGGATAACACAATCTTGTTGCAACTCTAACATGCCCACTGTGCAGTCCGTATTAGTTACATTACACAGAGAAATCACACAATGAGAGAAGGTAATAATAAAAACCGAAATGGGGCTAGTTTAAGAATCCGAAGCTAGCTGCCAGTTGATCATCCACAGAAGAATACTTAATGCTGCAATTATAATCGTTGTATATGACCGGTTGAGGCATTAACCCAGAATCCACAAGCTGATCGAGATCGAAATCTACTACACCACTCCCATCGAATAATGTGTAGGTATTAATTAGCAGTTGATCATCATCATCATCACAAATCTGCTGTGTATTATTATTATTATTATTCTGCGACTTTTGATCAAACGCGGGCAATTCAATAGGCGAAGGCAGCCAGTTAGCAGACGAGTTGTAGTTTAGAATGGGCGTGTCGAATATGGGCTCTTGGCATGAAGTAGTAGTAGTATTTGTAGTAGTGCTAATCAATCGGCTGGATGATGATGAGGATGTAGTAGTACCCACAGTGAAAGTCATGTGTTTATTATAATTAATATTGTTGTTGTTTTTCATGATATTGATTCTACATGAAGAAGAAGAAGAAGAAGTATTAGTATTAGTAGTAGTAGTTTTTGTGGTGGATAAAAGGTTGTGAGTGTTGGGATCCAATCCCTGAGCAAGGAGTTTTTTCTTGATGCAAGAATTCCAGAAATTTTTGACCTCATTATCGGTCCTTCCAGGTAAGTGCTTAGCTATTTGAGCCCATCGATTACCCAATATCCTATGCACGTCGATTATGGTTCGCTCCTCGGCCTCCGTGAATGAACCCCTCTTAAGGTCTGGCCTTAAATAATTTATCCACCTCAGCCTGCAACTCTTTCCGCACCTCTCCAGCCCTGCACATCACCATATACATATATATATATATATATATATATTAAGCTACCTAGCTAGCTACCTAGCTTTTGATATATATAGTTATCAATATAGATAGTAATTAATTAACCTGCGAGTTTAGGAACGGAACTCCAGCAGCCATGGCCGTAAGTGGTGATGTGGCGGACAAGCTTTTCGTCCTCCTCGGGAGACCACAAACCTCGCTTCACTTTCTGTTTTGTGCAGCAATGGTGTCCCATGATCGACTGACTACCCAATATTATCTCTTCTTCTAATATAATACTCAATTACTCTCTACCTAGCTACCTCCCTCTCCCTCACTGATGATCTCCTTTTCATCTTAATTTATAACTTATAAACAACTAGCTAGTGTGTGTGTGTATTGTCTTGCCCTTTACACAAAAGAGCTGTTAATTTTCACTGGTTTAACTTTAATTAGCAGTGTTGTGCATGTTTATCGGTAAAGTGTACGAAATAGTATGATTTTAATTAGTATAATATTATATACTATATATTTATATGTCCATCATGAGTATATATAGTTTATTTAAAGTTTTAAACCAAGAGGCTGTACAACGAGAAATTTCATAAGAAAGCTCTAGTGTTTTACTTAGGCTGCACTCATTGCAGGACAAAGGTTAAATTAAATTGGTCTTTCATTTTGAGTGTTGATTTGATATATAATATATGATGAGCTTCCATTTTAATTAACAAGTCATGCATATTGTCTCAGCTTCATTACCACTCTTCTATATTTAAATTGACTAAAAGATCTCACTTTCAAGCTAGTCTTTGTCACAAACAGATGGCAATGTGTGTACTGTATGTATATGTGATATATGCACCAAAAACAGTTTTCTTGTGGTTAATATTTTATCCACAAACATTTATGTGTAGTTTGACAAGAAAACCTTTTTAATGATCTTCCATTTTTTTTCCCAAGTAAATTGACTTAATCATATACATCAACTAAAGGACAAAAGCAACCATTGCCAAAAAACAATCCGCATATTTGTTGCACAGGTGATGAAATTAAATACATTTACTATAATAATAAGAATATAATATCCGGAATACCATATATATGCTTTTGTTATTTTCTTTGGTATTATTTTAAATTTATTATTCTCTAGATAATATGTTTATTTCATTGTTGAAATATGAGTAACAAAACACCAATAATGAAATTAACAAATTCTATATTAGGTTTTTAAGTTGGTTTATTCATTCAGCTACAAGGAAATATAAAACGGTGCCCCAATTTCTATAAAATATATAACTCTGATGACAATTTGACTAATATACCTTACAGTGCTTTTCATATATGTTTGTTGCTGTATTTACCCTAGTTAAATAAATTAAATATAAGATTGAAAAGTGAAATTTAAACATAATTAATAAATGAAAATATCATATAGTTTAGGATTTATCTAAATAAGGCACTACCAATGCACAAAATTGAATAAAAAAGTTTAATAGAAACAACTTCCATATTTTTTCCTTACAAATTCAATGGTTTCATTGATCATCTCGCTTCATTTTATTTAATTATTATCATTTATCATTCATATTATATAATAAAAACTCCATTGTATAGTTTTACCTGTAAGTCTACCAAAGAGATTTTGGTATTCCCAGCCTTACTTACCACCTTCTTTGTTTTTAATTCCATGAAATTGAATAAAAACAAGACACGTGAATTTGTTAGAATTTGGTTATGCAGCACATATACTATATAATATATACACACGTGTCGAGTACAATTAATTACTCCTATATAGAATCAAGAAATTAATAATCAGAACTATATATAAAATTTAGTTCATCATTACTCATACTAACCATAGCAAAGTGAGAAAAAGCTGAAATAATAAGAAGGAATTATGATACGGCCATTTAGGGGAAGACCAAATGATTCTAAAAGAAAACCTCATCATTTCTGGGCTTTCAAATTCAACCTTACTGCTTATTCGATTCTCCTTTAGTGCCCTTCCCTTTCTTTCCAATCACGTGCTTTTTCCAATGACACAAACATAGTTAACTACCTTTTTGTACTGTTTGAGTCAGGTTGTAATTTCGCTGTTAACCTACATTTTTGTTTGTGAATGGTGTGTCATAAATTAAATTATAACTGTTGTTTTTCTAAAAAATAAACAATATTACTTGATAATATACTGTCTTAATAAGCCTTCTTTTCCACTTAGATTTTGGCTCCGTTAATTAAATTTCCATTAACCAAGCTAGGAATTAAAATGAATCAAAAGGTCTTTGGGTGGTTGTTTGTTGACCTTTTTGTCTAAGATAAGCGAGGAAATCACTTAAAAAATCAATTCTCTAGAAGGGTGAGCACTGACGATGATAGACGGATTCGTTTCTTTCCCAAAACTGATGTGAAAATCGATATTTCAATGGCCAATAGTATATATTTATATATAGGGATATTTTAAATAAAAATTATTCCTGATGCTATTTTAATGTTATTATTAATGAGAGGAAAATATTGGAAAACTCAAATCACTTTAAGAAGAGTGATTTTATTTTGTCCATTGGTATTAACTTTAACTTTATAGTCCGTAGAGGTGAGTGATCATTTCATGCATGTGGTTTTAATTCAAGACTAGAGATGGTCCTGAGCAAAGGATACCACAACTCCAAATTAACAATGATAGTTAATTTCCGCTAATATCGAAATTGATTGATTAATAAAATTTGCCGACAATTTGCAATCATCTCTCCTAGTCCTTTCGCATATGTATATATTTAACCTAGAAAAAAGGAATCCATTGTGGCATAATTACTGAAATTTCCTCATTCACAAAGGCCAACGAACTTTCCTTTTTCACATACTTTTCACCCTCCTGGGTTATGTAAATGTAGATCTATTTTTTAAAAAAAAAAATTTAAGTGTCAAATTTTAATACATTATAATTCTACACATCAATTTTGGTGTTGATGAGTTGATACGTTCGACAAGTTGTGCTATTTTGTTGCATAATTTATATTATTATGCATTTGATAGTGATGTTATTTTATGTTTTCTCACGTCTACTTGTGAATTGGTATATATCAATTTTTATAATTATTTTATAAGTTAAGCCCATAAGTACACATTTGTAACTTGGGCTAGGTTTTTTATATCTAAACTTGAAATCAAAAGGCCACCTGTTGGACTTAAGCCTTTTGTGGCCCAATGTTTTTTTGATGGCTTGGCATGCTCACAAAGAGGAAATTAGTTGATTGGCAAAAATACACCACTACGATAATAATAGAGACATATGTGGTTATCAATTCAGAAAAAGGATACCATATCGTAGGCCAAGCAGCCCATGGATAGAATAGAGTAGCTAGGCTTTTATTTTAGTTCTATGACGTTGAAATCCGTTTGACTATAAACGGTGAGGCAATATACTATTTCTTTGAGCATGTTTTTCTTTGATAGGACTCGCAGAAAATAAAAGTCTATTTCAGGTACAAGGATTGAACTGGTACAACATTTTTTAAACTGAGAGGTATCACTTAAACTACAAACTTGTAATATCTATATAGATGTCATCATACTACATATTTTCTGATTTACACTGATCGTTTAAATTAGAAGTTGCAAGAATTAAGGATTCTCTTAATTTATTCATAACAATTAATAGTCGTGGATTATAATAGCTTATTTGTTCGTGTTGTTAGGTGTTTGTCCCATTTTTGTTGTATTTTTCGTGTTCGTTTTGCTTTTCTTTATCCTCCGTTTTAGATCGTTTCCTTCATTTTTAGTTTGTTTCGTGTTTTATTATGTGTTTTTCTTTATTTTGAGTCTTTAGGTGTTTTTTCGTTTGTTTTCCCGGTTTTCTTCGTGTTTTGTCGTTTTTGGTGTGTAGGTCGGGAGCTTCGGGCAAATTTTATCTTCAGTAAAAGTTGGTTTCGAGAGCACAATTGGATAGATGGGTTCGTTAGCGACGCGTAGCAAAAAACGGAACTCAATTCCGAGTTCGGATGAGCCCAAACGACCCCGAAACGTAAAATGGCGCAGTGCAGTCCAAAGTCGCGACTCGCGAGAGAGAAGTCGCGACTCGCGAGAGCAAAGTCGCGACTCACGACTTTAACAGAGCCTCCGACCAGCTGCGCGACCCCACGACCCGTCAGACTCGCGAGTCGCGACCTGTTCGACCCTGTTTTTACTTTTTCTCTGTTTTTACTCGTTTTAGCTCCATTTTCCGAGCTCTATATATAAAAACGACCCCCCAGACCTAAGGGACAACCCCAAGATCGTTCCTTTCAAATTTTCTCTCCAAAAACTCAATATTGTTAGGATAAAATTTCTCCGTTTTTTTTTCTCTCATACTTGGATTGTTGAGCACAAAGATATTTGGATTGAAATCTTGCAACTCTTAATCCGATTGTAAGTTTTTCAATTCTATTTTATTATTGTTGATTGGTTTTATGTTCTTAATTCTGGTTAACATGAAATTGAATCTAAGCATGAGGTAATCCATTCACTTAGGGTTAGGGATTTTGATTCTTGTTTTGAATTATGAGGAATGTGTTTTGTTCAATCTATACGAGTTGTGTGAATTATATGGTTAGTTGATTGATCACCATTCTAACCTAGTTAATCGACGTTTAGAACCGAGAGGGGAGACGTCAGTCGATTTAGGCTCGTATAGAGTAGACATGTTCGTAAAAGTATTGTCTATGTGTTGCTTGTTTGAATGAATTTATCGTTTATGTTTGTGCTCTTGTTACGAAGAGTTATTGAGCATAGCCCTCTAGACGTGTATGCTTGTTTAATCTCGTAACCGAACAAATAAGCATTCAACATAGTTTAAGACTTGATGAGATTTCCCGACCCCTAGAACTTCTTCTTTTTCTCTAGAAATTTAATTGTTATTTCTTTAAATTGTTTTTCTAGTTCTAGCTTGTTTTAGTTGATTCTCCAAATCAATCGTGATTAGAGAGTTTAGGACTTATTTTCTTTTCGTGTGTGATCAAGACCAACTAAATTCCGAACCGTCTTCCTCGAGAGATCGATTCGGTACTCGGTAAAAAAATAAAATAATTTGCTACAACATTAGGCTTGTCTATGTTTGTGACATTTGATGTTGCAAGTGTGTGCTTAACTGGGAGTTTGTTCTCAGTTATTCACTATGTTCTAAAAATCGACCTAGGTGGCTGCTTAGGCGCTAGGCAGTGTCTGGCCGCCTCCAATTTGCACAAATCAATCGAAAAAATCGGTCAGGCGACTAGGCAGCCCTATGCGCTCCTCGGCGAACTTGGAGGGCTCAACGGCCAGGCAATTAGGCGGACTTAGGCGTTCTTAGGCGGGCTCGGCGGCAATTTTTCAGTTTTTTTTAATGCTAATTACACTATTTTGTTCTCATGTTTTTATTTTTATTTTTTAATGCTAATTACATTAGTTTTATTTTGTAGGTAGTTAAATAAATAAAAAATAAGGTATTTAATATTGATTTCTAGACCCCGACTAGACGCCGCCTAGACGAAAGGTGCTAGGCGCTGGTAAAGCGTCTAGCAGGCGCCTAGCAACTTTTAGAACACTAGTTATTCACTAGTTAAGTTAAGATTTAGTAGATAATTATTGTAGCAGATAACTTATCTCTCCTCCCTCCTTTATATTAATTCAAAACGTGTTAAACCTAAGTGGTAGACTCGCATTCTTCGGGATTCTATGTGGCAAAATTACATGTTTCGTTATTAGGCTTGGGTAGATTTTAATTTACTTCCAATCAAAAAATAGTTAGGTCCGGATTATCTATAGATATGTTGATTATTTACGGTCATGTTACATGTATTGATTACATTTTAATATCATTTCTTACTATAACCGTTGAATTGTAAATGTATTTTAAAAGTTAATAACTTTTGTATTTTTTATCAATTATATATATATAATATATTAAATTAATCATCTCTTGATGAACTTCGATTTAATATCTATATTGTATGTATAAAAAAAATAAATTATATTTATCTTTATAACAATAATAATTTTTTTTAATATTAATTAGAAAAATAAAATTAGTTATCAAATAAGATATTTATATATCAAGTAGTTATATGATATAAGTTATAAAAATTACTATAATAATACATATAAGTCGCACAAATAACAAGTGTCATTCTAAAATATATAATAATATATATTTTTGTAAAAAAATAAATAAAATTTAAAATAATTTTTCTCATTAATTTTAAAATTGAATAATAAATTTTTTAACAAGCACCCGTGTAATTGGGTGTTGTACTAGTTGATATTGAAGGCGGATAGTTTTCGATGACTAATGAATGAAGCTTGATTGATAATTGCATTTATGAAATTAGTTAAATCATTATTGGGACTATAGTCATTTACATTATACAATTATTATTAATATTATATTATGCTGAAAACACTCCCGACTGCCCGTCGCCTAGTCGCCGTCTCACCAGCATTTTGCATCAATCTTCCATGGAGCCGTGGCTTCAATTCTTGGGCCTCCGCCATAAGGAAAGCCGCTTACTCCTCTTCGCCTCAGGAAGCCCTCCGCCTCTACAACCGCATGCGCCGCCTGTCCCTCCCCTCCGACACATTCTCCCTCCTCTTCGCCCTTAAATCCTGCACCCATCTCTCCCCACAAACCGTCACCCTTGTGCGCCACCTCCACGCCCACCTCCTGCAGCTCGGATTTTCCTCGCACGTCCACGTCGCCACCTGTCTCCTCTATGCCTACGCCTACGCCCCCGCCGCTTTCCGCTACGCCCGCCTCCTGTTCGATGAAATGCCCCACAGAAACACCGTCACCTGGAACGTCATGATCACCGCCTACTCCCGACAACAGGGTGACCTCAAAACCGCCCGCATCCTGTTCGACGAAATGCCCCTTAGAAACCAGTCCTCATGGTCCGCCATGATTACTTCATATGTCGACCGATCCCTCTGGAACAACGCCCTTGCACTCTTTCGCCAGATGACGCACTGCGAGTGGTTAAAGCCCGATCGGCTCACCGTGGGCCCGATTTTATCTGGATGCAGCCGGATGGGTTCGGCCGGGTTAGTATTTGGAAAATCCATACACGGGTTTATTTTCAAGAACAGGTGGGAGCTGACTGTGGAGATCGGGACCTGTCTTGTCGACATGTACGCAAAGTGCGGGCTTTTAAACAAGGCTCGCTCGGTTTTTGAGATGATGGAGAGCAGCAATGTGGTGACGTGGACAGCACTTATCTGTGGTGCGGCTCAGCACGGTTACTGCACAGAAGCTCTCCAAATGTTTGAGAAGATGAGAGAACAGTGTGTGGAGCCGAACGAGATTACCTTCACTGGGATACTCACGGCCTGCGTGCAGGCTGGGCTTGTGGACGAGGGCCGCAGGTATTTCGGGCTTCTTCAGCATGAATTTGGGCTGAGGCCCACAATTCAACACTACGGGTGCATGGTGGATCTGTTTGGCAAAACGGGTCTGCTGGGAGAGGCGTACGAGACCATCAACAAGATGCCGTTTGAGGCGAATGTGGTGATATGGGGTTCGTTTTTGTCGGCTTGTAAGGTGCACAAGAAGTTTGAGATGGCCGAGAAGGTGATGGATAAGGTGTTGAAGATGGTGAGGCCGGAGAAAGATGGTGGGGTTTTCTCACTTGTGTGTGATCTGTACGCGTTGAACGGTAGGTGGAGTGAGGTGGAGAGAGTGAGGGATTTGATGCTCAGCAAGAATGTGAGGAAAGTCAGGGGATCGAGTTTCGTCCAAAGTGGAGACCAGTGATCGGTTGATAATAGTTTAAGCTCTCAATGCAAGGTGAGTAGAGATGAATGATTGAATTCTCTGATATTTTTTTTGTTCATATTGCTATGAGGACTCATTTGGAAACATTGATTCGAATATGATGGTTCCATAAGCTAAGGAAAAAGGTCAGGTAGTACTTAGTATAGCAGAACATAATAAGCACTTATTGTAGGATTAGTATATATGATAATTTTTGTCATACCATTTACTGGGGATAAGATAACCATGCACATTGTAAAACTTGCCGAGGAATTTTGGAAGCTAATGCCAGCAACTTGGATATTTTTCTCTCAATTGCTCTGTAGTCTGTACTATACCATCAAAGTACATTTTTAGTTGTTGCATAAGAAATTAGTTATGTCAAAACTCCAAACAGGTCCTAATACAAAGATGCAGTGTGGGAAAGGCAAAGGAGCGTGTGTCTTTTGCAAAATGAATATTCAAAATAAATAGCAGAAAACATACAAACTAAGAACTATATATACAAATAATTTTGAAATAAATTTCTTGTAATTTACTAATTTATTTTACTTACCAACCAAGAATATCATTAAAACTTGGATTGAAAAGCCTAAAAAAATAGTCAGATGTGTCAAACACATTTACTAATAAATAATAACTAGTACAACGCCCGTGTACTACACGGGTGTTTCATAAAAAATTAATTATCCAACAAAAAGGGGAAAAAAATTACTATTGTGAAGTAAAAAACTATAAATATTTAATAAAAAATATTTTTAACATTATTTTGAATTCTATAAAATATTTTTATGAAATATTATGTATTTTATTTAATATATATTTATTTTTGTTAAAATTAAATAGATTTTATTAATCTATTCGACAGTTAATAACGCCCATGAATATCACGGGCGCTTAAAAGTTAAATATTTGTATCAAAATAAAGAAGTGAAGAAATATATATTCTTATAGTAGAATGATAAAAAATTAGATATACAACTAATAACTAAAAAAATAACAATAATAATTAATTAAAATAATACTCTTATTTTATACTCAAATTGTTAAAATGATAGTTTTCTTAACCACACACACATACACATACACACACATATTTAATTTTAAATTTTTTTTCAAGTATGATTATATTGTAATTATGCTTTATATTTATACAATCTTTCTCCCTGATTTAATATATTTTAAAATTTATTCAACTTTATGATGTTCAAAAATTTAAAATATAATGTGTATGAGTGTATATTTTACACTTTACGAAATAAAATAATTATTTTTATATTTTAATTATAATGTTTATTTACTTTATTTTTCACGATCATAATGTTTATGTGTAGTCTTTACTTAAGTCGAGACATAAACTTTTAGAATATTTTTTTATACTAACTTGATGTTCATAATTAGTTTATTGATTTTTTTCTAAATAAAATAGTTAATTATATTATGTTAATACACATAAATTTTTATTGCTTTATATGATAAAATATACTTTTTTATATATTTTAAATTAGTTTGATTTATAATTTGATATAGGATTCTTAACATTTGATTGGTATAAGATTCTTAACTTGTGTAATTAAGTAATATTGATATATGATTCTTAACAATTGATTGATAAAGGATTCTTAACCCGTGTAATTTTTATGGTTCATGGAGGGGATTGATTAAGCCAAAATATATTGTAATATTAAGCTTTTGTAAAATATATTAAATTTTTTATTTTTAAAAAACTAAAATAATTTAATTTTATATAAAACATTACTTTCGGCTTTAGTTAAATTGTCAAATTATATATTTTTGATCATAATAATTAAACGCCCGTATATTAAATGAAAATGTCAACCCGTGTTGAATTTTTTTTACTTATATCATATAAAAATATCGATATTATTTACTATTACATAAGTACAATATATATCTTAAATAAATAGAAATAATATGGTGATATGTATATGCATAAGTATAGAATATGTTTATTTAATATTAAGCAAAATAGATTAATTTTTTTACTTAATTAGATGTCTAATACATTAAGTGTTGTATCAGTCGTGCTTCACAATTTTTTAACTTTATGTGTAATTTTAGAATTTATATAAATAATTATTTATTTTTATTACATTGACAACATACCAATTAGATTTGAAATAAATATCAGTTTTAAAAGAATACATACCAATTTTTATTACTTTATAATATAATTTATAATTTTATTTAATATAATTTAATTTAGCTTGATAAATAATTTAAATTTTATTTTTAAGGATATATATTACTGTTTTGTATTATATATATATATAAATAGTAAAATACAACCGCACTTCATAATATCAATTCAAATGCAACACATTAATTAGGATTTTTTTTTCTTGACAATATTAACTCTATTTAATAGATGTTATGGGAAACGATGGAGATGGGATATGAAGAGTTACTGTGTATTAAATGGAGTGTTAAAAATAGAAAATTATGAACAAAATATCTAAAACGACATTTATTTTATCAATGATCAATTATGCCAAAGATACAAATAATAAAAATAGGAGAGAATATATATTATATATTTTAGTATGACCAATGTTATTTGTGCGACCTATATGTGTTATATTATAATAAATTTTCTACCTTATAACATGTAACTACATTAAACATAAATATATTAATTGATAAATAATTTTATTTTTTAATTAATTTAAATAAATAATTTTATTATTATAAAAATAAATATAATTTATTTATTATATATATATACAATATGGATGTCAAATCGAAGTTCATCAAAAGATGATTAATTTGATATATTATATATGTAAAACCGATAATAAATACAAAAATTATCAACTTTTAAAATATATTTGCAATTCATTGGTTATAATAGGAAATGATATTAAAATACAATTATTACAAATATTAATTTATATCCAAGTCTAACTCTAAAGCATGAATTTTTGCCAAATAGGATTCTGAAGCATGAGAATTTGCCACGTAGACTCAACGCATTCTGAAATTATATATTTGTTAATTAATAATAATAATAATAATAATAATAATAATAATAATAATAATAATAATAATAATAGTATATTTTATAATAATATACCAGCGAAATAATCTCTTATTGCCTCTAGAAAAGTTAGTAGATATTTTAGATAAACCTTGACTTTCGTGATACGAGATTAGAGCACGCCGCATTTGTAATCATTTTACAGAATCAAATGAGATTAGGAGAAAGAGCCAAAGTTTCAAAATTATTTTGGAATTTATTTATTTATTTCAGTCACTTTTTTGCATTTAAGGAGACGCGAGAGGCTGCAGAACTGGTGGAATGACTTTGAACTTTGGCAGCTTATACGATAGGTGTTTTAGGTGAGTGGACTTTGGTTAGGTTGTGTGAATGACTAGCACTTGGTACCAAAAATAATTGAATATATGTCTTCAAAATCAAGATATTACAATTATTACCACCCTTGTGAGAAGCCGTGTAATAGTTACCGCGCCATCATTAATTACACTGACTAATATGAAACTTTTATAACCCAATAGGCAATTACAAAAAATAATGCACTTTAAAAT